CAGCTTTCCTGCTCCTCTGATGCTGCTTGGCCTGCTGTGTTCATCCAGCTCTACACCTTGTTATCCCTAAGTCAATTCCACACATTGCTTGTTCAAATGGGTGAACTGACTAAGCTTTCTATTATGTTCTCAAATGGCATTTAAACGGATTTACAATTTTAGGGGACATACATTTCAACAATTTTCTTCAAAGACAAGTACACTACAATATTTCCATGCAAATGCAACTGAACAAGGGTGCAATAAAAACACAGCAAAACTTTGCCTGGTGTTAAGAATGCAGATTTATGCTACATTTTCCTTGAAGATTGCAGAGATGGAGAAATTTGTTGTCCTTGAAATCTCCACCATTTCAAATAACTGACAATTCCAAAATAGAAGACAGCTTAAAAGAATGCTGCATAATAATGTCAGGGCAAAACAATGGCTGCAATCCAAGCAAAAGGGCTGCTACCAAATTAAACATCATGCAGTCAAAATAAATTAAAGTTGAATAGGAATACGATCCCCTTAGAAGTCATAGTAGTAGTATGTCACTCTACAGAATTCTGACATTGAATACACGTCTTATTTTGTACCCAAAGGGAAACAGTTTCCAGAAGTACAGAAAAAGCTTTTTGTCTTGCATTCATCAGGACAAATACAAGAATTCCAAATTTCAAATGATCATAATAATTTGTATCATAGGAAAACAAAGTAAAGGCTGAATGACTGACAAGTCAACTGTGACTGGTTGAGGCATTACCATAAAAAACATCAGGGAACATGGCTATGACTCAAATACAGAGTCAACTTGTCAATCACTCAGCGCCCTTTTCTCCTGTAGCATTATAGACTGCTTTGATCATTTGAAATTTGGCATTCTTGTGTTTGTCCTGATGAGCGCATGATGAAAAGCTTCAACAGCATGACACCTTTTCCAGCAAGACTCAAATCCTGTATTATCAAGTGAATGCAACTGTGTTAAACTGCAGTCAGACTTCACACCATGAGATGAGTCTTTGAAAAGTTTGCTTTAAATAAATCCGATGTCAAGCAAATAGTACATTTCATATTTACAGTCCTGGTTTACCAACAGAGGTTTTACTCTGTCACATTCTGCTACGTGGGTAGAACTGGCACCCTGAACAGTTTTCAATCACAGCAAATGGAAGAAATGCTTTTGTGGGATATACTAACAAAATGGTACATCCCTCCCCATTTTAGTACACTGTGCTCCATTAAAATGATTAGAAATCTTCAATGCGATTTTTGTGTTAAGTAAGATTAAATTTTTGTTTAAAAATCAGGCAGTTTGAATATCCAACACAACGACATAGGTTTTTTCTTAGAAATGAATACAGAAAATGATAGAAATAGGATTGAAACAATAGGGGTGGACCATACAATCCCTCAGGCCTGCTTGATCATTCAATTAGACCATGGCAGATCATCTTCACTTTTTACAAAATATACATTTGCACTTTATTACTTAGCTAATAACTGTCTAACTAACACCTCAGGTCTCAACGCTCCTATTGTTCCTAGTATTCATATCATTTGGGTGAGAGTTCTACATTTCCACTATTCATTGCAAGAAAAGATATGCTTCTGGATTTCAGTAAATTCAAACATATATGCAGCACAATGCAAACCCTTCATCCCAACTAATCCATGCTGGTGTATATATTCTACATGAGTTTCTTCCCATTGCACCTACCTCCTCCCCAATGTTCAATATATCTTTCTATTTCTCCTTCTCATGTACTCATCTAGTTTCCTTTCAAAACTATTCAAGTTTTTCCTGGAATCATCAAGTTCCACAATCTAACCACATTGAGGAAATAAATTACTCATTACTTCTCTGCTGGAATTAAATGGTGTTACATTAACCAAAGAAAACAGGGAAGGAAGAAGAGTGCGAGCGCTAACAGAGTGTAGGTGGGGAGGGACTGGGAAGAGAGAGCAGCGCAGACGATGAGCAGGAATGGGAAGGGAGATGACTACTCCCATGGTCTGTACAGGATTTGAATGGCTTAGGTCTTGGTCCCTTGATTTCATCTCTCCCACCAGAGGGCATCTTTTGTCCAAATCTAATCCAATCAGATCAATGTACAATCTCTAATTTTCTAGGAAATACAAGCTAAGGATCAACTGCCACTACAGATAATTTAATGTCCGACTAGAAAGGCTAGGTCATGGTTTCAGGTACAGGCAGAATGAACATCTTTAGCCATTGTACACAGCTCACCATATCTTTTTTTCTATTGAAATTAAGCTCTTGGTATTTACACTTCTTTGGAAATTCTAAATCTTGATCCTCACCAAACTCAAAACATTTTTCATGCATTTGGAAAATTCGAGCCGTTTGTTTCCATTATGAATTTCCAGTACTTTCATGTTTTTTCTCTTTATACCGTTAGAGGTCATTGTAGAAGTACAATGTTAACAGAATATTTTGATATCTTCTCCACATATTGGTTTTTATTCATTCATGGGATACAGCAGTTGGTGGCAGAGTCAGCATTTATTGCCCATCCCCATTAACAAAAAGATCATATATCTGAAGTTTATAAATTATTTAACAATGCAATATCGCTATGCCATGTCTTTAATTAAGGTCAAATTATTTACACATTAAATTCTCTACATGAAAGTTAGTGAGCGTGTTGGATATTCTTACTTCAAAACTCATGCATCTACAGGTTTCTTTCCAACTATGCTGCAGAGTATTAAAAAGGCAATACAAACCTTCCTCCTCTTCCACACTTTTTTCAGTAACTGCATGATGACAGGAAAGGAAGTCATTGATCATTCAGAAAAAGATACTGCAATCTGCTGCAGTTTAATTAGGACTAGCAAAAGTATCAAGTGGTTATGAACTGACACGAAAGTTAAAACACCGTAAGAGCTTTGTGTATCTGCTTCATGCTAAATTACTTTGATACAAAAGTTTATATTCCATAAAGTCACGCACTTGCATCATTTTTACACTTTTTGAAAGGTCCAGCTCCAACATAAAAGATGCGTATCCTCAAAGAACAAAAGCATTTAAAAAACGGAAACGAAAGGGACTTTTTTAAAAAAAAGTACAAAAGAAATTAAAAAATTAAAAAAGTGAAAAAAAAAGTGATTGAACCTCCCTGACCCAAATTCTCACTGCATATGATAGATTCCTAACATCACCAATTAATCAACTCTCCAAAGCTATCCAACTACGAGGCCCAAGTCAGGAGAGTGATGGACTACTTTCAACTTACCAAGATAGGTACAGCTTCATCAACACTCAACAAGCTCAATTTCATCCAGGACAAAAGCAGCCTGCTTAATGGGTATCCTCATCCACAACCTTCAATCGTTCTGAAGAAGGGTGCCAACACAAAACGTCAACTTTCCTGTTCCTCTGATGCTGCCTGGCTTTCTGTGTTCCTCCAGGTCCACACTGTGATCTTCAATAGTTACTACCTCCATCACCAGCACCAGTATTCACTCCCTCACCACCCAGTAACAGCAACGTGTGCTATTTACAAAATACACTGCAGTAATTCCTCAGTTCCTTCAACAACACCTTCCATATCCACAATATCTACCAGCATAAGGGACAAGGGCAGCAGATGCACAGTACACCACCACCTTGAAAATTTCCCCTGAGCTCCACAGTATCCCAACTTGGAACTAATCACCATTCAATGTCACGGGGTAAAAACCCAGAACTCACTCCCTAACGGAACTATGGATGTACCTATACCAGATAAACTGCAGAGATATCACGGGAGGTAGTGGTACTTCACTGAACTGAGAACACAGAATCCAAGGCTTATGTTTTGGGGACATCAGTTTGAATCTCACCAAATACTGAAATTTGAATTCAATTAAACAAAAAAAACCTGAAATAAAACATTATCCACTGTCAATTGCTGTAATGCCCTTAGGGAAAGGAATCTGCCTTACCTGGTCTGGCCTACATACAATTCCAGACCCACAGCAATGTGGTTGACTTCTAACTGCTCTCAGGCAGTTGGCACAGCCAATGACATCCACATTACATGAAAGAATTTTTAGAAACCAAGGCAGCTGCTCACCATCACCTTCAAGGGAAATTAGGGATGGCTGGTCTTGCCAATGACACACACATGCCAGAAACAAAATAAACATCAAGTTCCCAAACATGAAATTCACTCGTCTAACTGTTGATCATTGCCCTGATCAATACAAAAATTGTGAAACTTCAGCAGGATATATTTATACCACCTTAACAAATAAATAATCAGTGGCTTTCCATGCCAGGCAGTTCTGCAGTATTAGTAATAATTGTAACTTACATTTACAGCACCTTCAACACAGTAAAGCATCCTAAACTGCTCCCTGGGCAGGAATGGGGCAAAAATATTTGATACTGTACCAAACCTTTGATTTCAAGTACGGTGCTGAAGTCAGACAAATAACAATGCATGGACATCACACCACCAATCATCTGATGCCTATCAAACAGCTGTCCAGATGAAATCAAAGTGTTTAAAATCACACTAGACAGCACCGATAGGAGTCACTGTTGAATAAGTGCTTCTGCATAGCACATCAACTTACCTTCATTTTCTCTAGGAGCATATGTACGTAGGAATTCTGCAAATGCTCCATTTTGCTTTAGAAGTTCCTTGTACGTACCCGACTCTGAAATTTTGCCATCAACCATCACTAGAATCCTGTCCATTTGAGGTAGGAAGTTAACACCATGAGTCACCAAGACACGGGTCTGTAAACAAAGCCATTTTTAACCAAATGTATTTATGAAATAGATGGGGGAGAAAGCATGTAATGGAAATACTTCTAAGCTTCTAAGGTTGCTCACCTTGCCACTGAGTAAACCATTGGGTCCAATTACTTTATCAAAAATATGTCGACCAACATGTGCATCAACTGCAGAGAGTGGGTCATCCAGAAAATAAACAGAATTTCTGCTGTAAACTGCTCGAGCAAGACTCACCCTCTGTTTCTGCCCACCTGATAAATTCACACCCTGTAGAAGAAACCAAATTAACTGATGAAGTGATTAGTCCCCAAAAAGGTGCAGCAGGCAGTTAAGAAGGGAAATTGTATGTTGGGTTTCACAGCAAGAGGATTCAAGTACAGGAGCAAGAATGTATTTTTGCAATTATACAGGGCATTGTTAAGGCCACACCTAGAATATTGTGCGCAGTTTTGGTCTCCTTATTCAAGGATGTTATTACATACAGGAAGTGCAGTGAAGGTTTACCAAATTGATTCCTGGTATGGCAGGACTGATGAATGAGGAGAGATGGAGTCAGAGAGGATTGTATTTACTGAAGTTTAGGAAAATGAGGGGTATCTCTTGGAAACCTGTAGAATTCTAACAGGACTAGACAGGTTAGATACAAGAAGGTTGTTTCACTTGGTAGGGAAGTCCAGAATCAGAGTCAAACATTTAACAATAAGGAATGAACCTTTTAGGATGGAGTTTAGGAGAAATTTCTTCACCCAGAAAGTGGTAAACACGTGGAATTTACTACCACAGAAAGTGGGTGAGGCCAAAACATTATGTGTTTTCAAGAAGGTGGTAGATACAGCTCTTGTGGCTAAATGGATGAGGCATATGACTGGGGTGGGTGGTGGGGGGGGTGGCGCGGCAGCAGTGGGAGAGGGAAGAGAGAGGGATTAGGGTATTGAGTTCAATGATCAGCCATGATATATTGAATGGAGTCGGCTCTATTCCTATTCCTATATTTCAATGTAATTCCAATTTAGATGTTTAAATATCTCATTTTGGTTATGAAAACTTTTGGTGGTTAGGATGAAAGTGTATTATTCATGTTGCAATAGATCACTGCATTAACATTTGGTCTCCTTCAGAATAATAAACCTTTCTATGCTTCCTCGTATATATCTGAGCTGTAATTCCTGGAAGCCTCAACATCTTGCATTTTGTTCATTATGGACTGAAGAGTTCTGTACAAAGGAGTGGAAAGGGACAAGTAAAAACAGAAGTATTCTTTCCTCAGAATTACAAATTTCAATAATTTGTCATTTACAGTTCTGTTGTATAATCAAGTACTTTTGGGAAATTCAGGTACGTTTAGGACTTGGTAAATAATGAGAACTAAAAGTGCTGCTTTTGGTGGCCAAATTCCTCCTCTATTATCTGAGCAAGCCGCTCATATACACAGACTCAGATTCCTTCAACAGCATCTTCGAAACAGAAACTTCACCACAGGGAGGAGCAAGGAAGCAGGCGTATGATAACAAACACAACCACAACCATTTTTGTGGTCACTGGGCTAAAATCCTGGAATTCCCTTCCTAACAGCATTTTCGATGCCCCTACACCCCAAGGCAGCTCGCCACCATCTTCTCCAGAGCGATTAGGGATGGGTAATAAATACTGGCTGAGCCCAGATTCTATGAACAAAAGAAAGAAAAAGAAATACAAGGAATACTCAACATGATGAATGGAGTTCTCATATTTCTTTCACCTAAATTTTCCTCAATGTTCATTCCGCTTTTTAACCTCCCAGTCAAGATGATGTTCAGGAAACTTGATACTTGCTAACCAGACAACAACCTGCAAGTACTCAACAACTGATTTATTCATCTATCTCCCATCCCACTAGTTCTTGCCACAGACTCTGAGTAATCCAACAAAAACTTCAAATTCAACTTGTGGCAAATAGCAAGTACAAATTCCTCCGAGCTGTTAAATGGAGTTAAGTACGGATTAGCTATCAGCACAGTCAAGAGGCTGGAAGGCCCATCACTATCCCTAATGTTCCTACACAGTTACACAAGTAATTGCCATGCACTGTGTTTATATAACATTTTTAACTGTTCTCTTCCATTATAACTCTACAGGGTGCAATACAAGATTCACCAATACCGATCAATCTATTAACCTACACAAGGAAAATAAATGTCCTACAGTCATTTTAAACCATTAACTGCAGCTTTTATTTGATTTTATAATCAGGAGATCTCAGGAGTATAGAGAACAGTTATTTAATGAAAATGAAAACTGCACCTTCTCGCCTATTTCTGTCTCGTCTCCTGCAGGCAAGTTCTCCAGATCAGGTAGAAGTGCACAGCTCTCAACCACTTTTCTGTACCACTCTTCCATTAATTCCTGACCAAAGATAATATTTGCTCTTAAAGATGCATTTTGGATCCATGCTTGCTGTGGGACATATGCCACTGAACCCTGCAAATGAACAGAAGCAATGAAAGAGTAACTTTCTTCTCAATTTTGTCCTCGATGTAATCTATACTTGAATAAACAAGCATGACAGCCGGTCACGCACAATAAAAAAAGTTATAAACAAGGAAAATGTTTCTTAGTTTGTTCCTATTTACGCATAGGTTACAACTTTAGAACAAAATCTGTAACCAATAAAATTATCCCACATGGCATGACACAGAGCACATTGTGGATTCTTTCACCCAAAAGTTTTGTTTGTCCACAAGGACATTCAAACCCCTGGATTTTTGATAAAAGTTATGACATGTGGAACCAAAAGACAAATGGTTGAATGAGTAGAAAATTGGCTGAACTCAATACAGATGAGCAAGGATAAAGGGTTATTTCTTAAGGTTGGAGGAATCAAGCAGTGTTCAAAAAGATCAGTGCTGAGATCACAATTATTCAAGAGGTAAGTTAATGAATTGGATTGATACACAACATTTACAGATGACAACAAATTAGGCAACAGCTAACTCAGGAAGGCAATACATGATCCAACAAAATTGATCAATCTATCATCCTACAGACTTTAAACAATTAACTCTGACTTTTATTTGACTTTAAAATCATCAAATCTCAGGAGCATGCATCAAGAGATGATAACATTGGAAAACTTGCAGAATGAGCAGTTAAATAGCAAATGAACTTCAGCATTAATAAATCGGCGTCTTTGTGGGAAAAAGGAGAAGCATTACCCATACCCTTACAAAATAATCATTTGCATGAGGTACAACAGACAAATGAGCCTCAGGATACAAATAAGCAAATCATCAGAAGCAGGTTAGTTCTGCAACTGAAAGTACTAATAAGACACTAAAGATTTATTTCTCGGAGTGTAGAATTCAAAAGTTGAGAGATGTGTTAAACTTGTATAAATCCCTGGTCAGACTACACTTGAGATTACCATGCACAAATCTGCTTTATAAAAATGCTGTACTTATCTCCATTGTTACTGCAAGAACTATTAACCAAAAAACTGCAGCAATTGGAAGCTTTTTTTTTGGGAGTAGGAAGAGTCACTTTCTAACAGCATGGTAGAAGTATCTACACCAGATAGACTGTATGATTCAAGGCAGCAGCTCATTACCACCTTCTCCACAGTTATGATGGTTGAGCAACAAGAAAGAATGCAAGGAATAGGAGAAAAGAATAGTGCAGTGTAGTGATTGTAACGAGGTCACCCAGCTGGACCTCAAAGTACGAGTTCCCTAATTGGAGCTGTTAATCTAGTCCCAATCAGGGGGCCCTGGCTGACATAAAAAAGGTTGACGGTCAGGGTCAGGGATACGACACTCTGGTGCCCGACTCTATACGAGGCAGTATTTATAGTCAAGGACTCCTTATATGTAAATAAAGGGAATTTGGTGATGGGATACCAGCCTCTGTAGAGTTATTTCAGGTAGACTATTCAGCCATTTGAACTTGGTTTACCATTTAACGAGGTCATGGCTGACCTTTGGCTTCACACCACTTTTCTGTACAATTGTTATATCTCTTCATATGTTTAATCTGGAGAAATTTAGCAATCTCGGTCTGGAAAATACTCAACAACTGAAACACCAGAACTCTTTAGAGTAGAGAATTCCAAAAATTCACCACCCTCGAGGAAAAACAATTCTTTGTTATCTCAGTTTTAAAAGGTCTGCCATTATTCTGAGACTATGTTTCCAGGTTCTGTCCCCTACATTGTTTTCAACTATCTCCACTTGAAAAGCTTCTCGTACCTTGGTGCCGCAGTTATTCAGCTCATCCACACTATAATGTTCACTCTTGTCCATACTAGATGCAAGAATTTCAAACCTGTTGGACAATTTCAAAGTCTGAGGCTCCTCCACTCCCACACATCCTAGATCTCTTTACCTTCCCTTGACTCTGCTGTCCCTGACATCTGATGCTGCAGAATCACAGAATTGTTAGTGTGGAAGGAAGCTATTAAACTCATCATGCCTGCACTGGCTCTCTGAGCATTGAGAGTTGGTGTCAACCTCCTGCCTTTTTTCTCTCTCTCCCCCCACCCTCGACATTGCATGTTATTACTATTTAAATAATTTTCTATTGCCCATTTCAATGCTTCAATTGAACCTGTTTCCACCATACTTCCAAATATTGCATTCCATATCTTAACTACTGAAGAAACCTCATCTTGCGTTTGTTTCTTTTGCAAAGCACTGCGCCCTCTGGTTCTCGACCCTCTTACAAGCGGGAACAATTTCTCCTATCAACTCTGTCCAGATATCTCGATTTAAAAGAAGTCTATCAAATAGAGGACCAACTTGAGTGGTGTGACTGTCTTCTGGAACGAATCATCCCTCTCTGTCACATCAGTGTCTAGAGCTTGGCCTTCAGTCGAAAAACCTCAGTTGTCGATCCTCAAACCACATGCAATTACTACAGATATGGTTGCTATGGATTGCCATCATATCCAGAAGCTCCCACATGGTGGAGCTGTGACACATTAACATAATAAAAGATGGTAGGACAAGTAATTAGATTTATTTTTGTTCAATCAATTCATGGTTCACAACCTCGTAGCTTCACACACTGTGCATTCATGCAGCAACTCAGTGTAGAAAAGCATCACTGAGCAAAGCCCTGTATTTACATTCTGTCAAAATCAAGTCATGAAATGCTGGCTCAGCCAAAGAGCTTTCATCTGAAAAAAGTTATTTTTCAAAATATCTGACCTGCACAGATACAAACCAGTACATTGAACAATCTCCAATTACATGCCTTAAGAAAATCAAGCCAAGTATTACCTTAAAACAAGCACCCCTTTTTACCAGAGTTCATTCAACATAGATGCAAGGTTACAAAGCTAAAGTTTACACGCTCACAAGTGGGTACAGTAGCTACACGACTGAACCAACATTGCTCACTAGAGCAGAACACCAATAAACTTGTCTAGCCATTAAGTCTTTGCTTCAAATGGTAATCAGGTACTAAGTAAGAGTAATCCCAGCACAGTGATAAATATATACCTAGTTCCAACAGTGAGCCAGGCTAGCTGACTGATCATCAATAATGCCCTGGGGTACTATTTAGGTACAATGTTCAAGCGTTAGATTACCATGGTGGCCAAATTAGTACCTAAGCATTAGCAAACATGTTGTCAAAATGTGTCTACCATCCTCCCGCCCTGATAAAAACAGTCAGTCAGTCACTGTTAAATTATTGGAAAACTGACAACACTGGATTTGGATTGGGTCAGATGCACAACAGCTTCGATGAGCTCCTCAATCTGACTGGTGAGCAGCAGAACTCATCACAGAACGTGGCACTGCATTTCCAGAAACCTCCTGATCACAATATACCCACTAAATGACAATGGCAGGATTAGGTGGTGAGAAATTGCAGCAATCCAATCACAACTGGCACCAAAGTGTGTGTTCTTTTATCAAACCTCCAAGTTACACCTACACTTCTGCTTAATTATAACATAAAAGTTCCCTGTCAACTTGGAATTGAACACAAGAGCAAGACAACAGGAAGATGCTTTACCTTAACAGCAACATAACCTTCTTGTTTCTGCATTTCCCCAAGCAACGCAGAGAGTAGAGAAGATTTTCCACATCCAACATGTCCAACAATAGCCACAAGAGAACCTTCAGGAATTTCAACATCAATGCTATGAGAAAAACATTAAAGTAGAGCAATAAATGCATAGTACAAGGCAAGAAATTAATATGAAATTGTATTAAAATAAAGTTAGCTCTTAATAAGAGCAGCATCATAAAAGAACGCCAGTAAATGTATTTGATCAAATGCTATCCAAGTATCAGTATTGCTTTCACTACAATTTCCTGCCAATTATTTTGCTCCAGTTATAAAGGAGAGGGAGCTGTAGTAACTGGTCAAATACCTCATCTGGTATAACATACCAACATAATTGATTGGAAAGTTAGTTATACTATCCCAAGAGTTACACTATAACAGTTAACTCATACTTACTAAAATTCTGCAACATTCATTTTACATACTCAGTGTTCAAATATGGTTAATACAGTGAAAGTTTTTAAATCAGCTGCTCAATATTGGATTATAATTTGTGCTCTGCTCGGTCAACAGGCAATATCACAGTTGAAGGTCAGTTATCAGGTCATAGAAAGTGTGAGAGATTGAAGCAGTCTATGTGCAAATGCAGCAAGACTTGGACAATATCTAAGCTTGGGCTGACAAAGTTGCAAGTAACACAAGTTTTTACCTCAAGTTTTATCTGATAAAAGTGTATATTATTCGTTGTTTTGAATTTGAGATGGTCACACAATAGCACACATTATTCTAATAAGCCATATTACAATGACAAGCATTCTCCAAAACATCCATACTGATATCCCAAAAGATACTACAACACCGGATAGATAAAGGTTCACTCTGGTCCCCACAGGACACACGAACTGCTCTAGCAAAGTGAGCCGTGATGCTGGTTGCGTGGACAGTCTATGTCCATTTATTACATTACATTGCCTAAGAAAACAAAGTGAGGTGGACATAAATCGTGTGACCATAAACAAAAACCAAGGAATAAACGCCTACATGGTGAAATGGAGGAATAGCATGCCTTTTTCAGATCAAACAGATTGCATTTCAGACACCACTGCAAAGTCACTGTAGCAATAGCAGTAATTTAGAAAGAAAGATTTCACTGGACAGTATGTAAGCGATATGGGACAGCACTATGGGGAATTACACGTAACACACTTTTCAAGACTGCCTCCTCAAAACTATATCCCACAACCCCTCCAGCCTCAACTACCATACCATCTGTCACCTCCCAAAAATCCTTGCATGTGCAATTGTCTCCCAAGCAACTGTTAATATAGCTTTAAGTATTGCATTACTCAACAGCACAAACCAGGGCATCTTTCCCAAACTTTTTTTTTTTTTAAATTGCCAGTATTACCATTATTTGGAATAAATGATAATAACCTCAGAAAATGCAAGAGATACATAGACTACTGCAAAAAAAGAAATTCTTACTTGTTCAGACATGGGGGATCTTCATTAGACCACCTGAAAGTTCCATCATTCACGATGATACTGTTCCATGCTACATAGACAAAAATATAATTTGAATTGCATGCAAGGAAAACTTCAATTTCCAGTCCCAACCACTTAATTAATCTGCACAGCACATAAGAATCTGAGGTTTGGTTCTTGATAGTTCCTGTGCTAGCCAACGTAGCCAGGACACTATGCAAGTATTAAGATTGCTCTGCCAACAACGAACTTGTGAGATAGACTGACTACTATCCCAGAATCTATTCAGAAACAACTCTCATTAAATTTTCACCATTACAGCAAAAGAATTCTGAGGAAGATAACACCAAATAAATTGACTCAAGAATATGTGCACAATGCACTTCATGAGCAGTTATGTGACCAAAGCATAATGGAATATCTTGAGGACCAGAACCGCACTATACAAAAGCAAGTTGACTCTTTTTAGCTAATCTGATAAGTCTCCCCCCATCACTAGACAATTGTCCATAGTAACAGTCAAAAAGTGTGTGTTTGGGGATGAGCTAATCTGCTCCTATAATCTTCGCCAAAATTGGTGCAACTCTCACTATCAAACATTTCTGAGAATGATCCAGGATGGCATTTCATATTTTCTTTCCCTCCTTTGAAAAGCAGCAGAAATCAAAGATTAAATACACAAAACATCATAGCTCACTCAGTGCCTCTGCTGACAGAAAAGACAGATTGGAAAGCTGCATCAGGAAACAGATATTAATATTTTGCACCATGACATCTAACTGGGAGTCCATTTAATTTGTTAAGATTGTAAAATTAATTCTAAATTGACAAAACATACCACTGAAAAAAACTATTGCAAAAACTCTGTTAAAAGGACAAAGATTTTAGTCATATTTAAATGACTTTACACAAAACTCGGAACTAGTCAAAGACACAAATACAGAGCAGGATGGTAGGCAGCGATTCATTTCTAGCTTTTGCTTCGTGCAGAACTTGAGCATTGATGAAAGAAGGCATTTTATCATAGCTTTTCACCTGACACTCATCAGGACACTTCACAGGAAATATCAGCTTAAAAGAGGAAAACAAACAAACAAACAAACAAACAAAGTCTTCATGCTTTACAAGAAAAGACTGCAAATTGGTTCCTAAGTGTACTATGAATGTTAGACGTCTTGCACCAGTAAGATGACTGACGATTACTGCCATGTTTTGTTTGAATTTAAACCGGGCAAGTGGACTCTGGTCAAGGTATTTCCTCGAAGATATTTTAATCACCCTGTTATGACACACCTTTGGAGCACATGGGGCTTGAACTCAGGCCTTATGAGTCAGAGGCAGGAACACTACCACCGTGACACAAGAGCCCCAAGGTATTTCCTTGAAATTTTAACCTTTTCTTTTAAAAAAAAAAAAAAAAAAAAAAAACAACCTGTTCAGAGATGTTATTACGCACTCTACAGCAGGTGAGACTTAAACCCGGCTTCCCAGTCTGGGGGTAGGGACACTTCTACTGTGCCACAAAAGTCGCAAGTATTTCCTTGAAAAACAAACCGGCGAATGGCTGTCATCTGTTTGTCAAGTTAAAAACAGACAGAACCTATATACACATTCCTTGTCACTGCAAAAGAAAAAAGGACCCTGTAAATTAATACGTGTAACTACCAGTACATGACACTGCAAAGGCTAAACTACCCTAAACTGGTTGTCAGCATAATGTTAAGCATTCAGGCTTATTTGACAACTTTTGTACAAGCGCAGAATCAGAGCACAGCAATGCTGGACCCTGTGCTTTAAATTTCGCAAGCTCTGGCTCAGTGAATACAGGTCAGTGTCTTTAGGGAAATGTTATTTGATACCATTCATCAGTCTTTAGTAAATACCGTCTACGTAGAAGAATCAGACTAGCACAAACTGTGGCCATACTTCCCATAAACATCAACAAAATGTAACCTTTCTGTTGTATTAATTGTCTATTCAGGATAAGGTCTTTTACTACTCACAAGTATGGACTGAATGTTTGTCCACTGTATCTAAATCCAGTTCCTCATGAGAGAGAAATGTTCCCAGGCGCTTCAAGGAAACATTAGCCTGAAGAAAATTAGGAAAACAGTTAAACGATCCCATTTAGCTAATGTAGCTCTGAAACAAACCTCACCAAAGAAAACAATATCAAATGCAGCGTATTTAGGTCTTAGCACAGATAACTTGAAAAGAGTTTAGAATTTTGGTTGTAATCTTTCAAGGCTGATGATTTTAATAACAAGATTCCAAACTTTTTCAGCGTGTCAACATTCAGTGCTATTGGTTTTCCGAGCACTGTTTCATTTAGTGAGAAATGACTTGTTTTTTTTTTTTTTAAATTCACTCATGGGACATGGTCATCACTGCTGGCTGGCCAGCATTTATTGCCTGATCCTATTTGGTGTTGAGGGTGGTCAGCTGCTTTCTTGAACATCTACAGTCCACTGTTAGACCCACAATGCCCTCAGAGGGAGGGAATTCCAGGATTTTGACCCAGCCGCACTGAAGCAACGGCAATATGTTTCCAAGTCAGGATGGTGAATTGTTTTGAGAGGAACTCGTAGGTGGTGGTGTTTCTGTGTAGATGCTGCCCTTGCCAGTCTAGTGGTCAAGGGTTTGGAAGGTGCTGTCTAAGGATCTTTGGTGAATTTCTGCAGTGCGTTTTGTAAGTGGTACACACTGCTGCTACTGAGCATCTGTGACGGAGGGAGTGGATGTTTGTGGATGTGGTGCTAATCCAGTGGGCTGCTGTGTTCTGGACTGTGTCAAACTTCTAGTGTTGTTGAAGCTCACCATCCAGGCAATTAAGGAGTATTTCATCACACTCCTGACGTGTGCCTTGGAGATGAAGAACAGGCTTTTTGGAGTTAGGACACTAGTTAATAGCTGCAGGATTCATAGCCTCCGACCTGCTCTTGTTGCCACTGCGTTTATGTAGTGGGTCCAGCTGAGTTTTTGGTCAATGATAACTCCTAGGATGGGCGGTGGTTAGATTGTCTCTTATTGGAGAAGGTCATTGCTCAGCATTTGGGTGGTGTGAATATTACTTGCCACTTATCGGTCCCTGCCGGACTAGGGTCTTCACGTCAACACCAGACAATTCTTACGCCACTTTACAAGGATATCATTCGCATAAATACATGCTTACAACAATACAAGCATTTACTTACTTGAACTAAACTGCTAATGACCATGGGAAGCATGTTGAGTGGAAATCTGAGAATGTTAAAAAGTGCCAATGAAACGAAAGCTTTCTGGGCATCCAACACATTCTTCTCATCTACAGTTACATACACTGCAAATGTAGACAAAGCAACCTACACAAAACGAAAGGAAAATGAAATGTAAAAGATTCATTTCATACAATCCTATAGAGGTTGATACATTGCATGGAAATTATTTGGACTTCGTTAATAAAATGTTGAAATGTTTCTATTATCAAGAAACCTCGGGCATAAAATTGATAATGTCCACTATTGGTTAAACATAGAAACATAGAAGATAGGAGCAGGAGGCGGCCATTCAACACAATCATGGCTGATTGTCTAACCTAGTAGCCTAATCCTGCTTTCTCCCCATAACCTTTGATCCCATTCGCCCCAAGTGCTATATCTAGTCGCCTCTTGAATACATTCAATGTTTTGGCATAAACTACCTCCTGTGCGAATGAATTCCACAGGTTCACCACTCTTTGGGTGAAGAAATGTCTCATGTCCGTCCTAAATCATCTACCCCAAATCCTCATGCTGTGACCCCTGGTTCTGGACACATACACCATCGGGAGCATCCTCCCTACATCTACCCTGTCCAGTCCCATTAGAACTTTATAAGTCTCCATGAGATCCCTCCTCATTCGTCAGAACTTCAGCGAAAACAATCCCAGCCTAGTTGATCTCCCCTCATACATCAGACCCAGCATCCCCGGAATCAGCCTGGTAAACCTTTGCTGCACTCCCAAGAGCATCTGGTTATCTGGTACAAGTCAGGTTCTTCATCAGCAATGAGTTGCCAAGTACTTTTAGGGTCAGAATATCACAGAACCATTACAGTGAAGAAGGCAGGCTCTTCAAACAGATATTGTTATCTACTGTCAATTTCCTACCCTTTCTGCCATTGCATATTATTTGGTTAGAAACAAATCAGCCAACACCCTCTTGAATGCTTCATATCTTAATTAGCAGGGTACTCTAACAAATCTAGCTAGCAGATTATTGCTAATGATAGTATTACATCTCTAAATAAAACTAAGACAAATAATTTATATTAAAAGTAAACTCTACAATGAAACTAGAATTTGATCTGAGAGCACCAAACACAACGCTCAGTCTGGCTTTTTAAAGTAGCAGCTGTTTACTCCCAAGTCTTCAGTGATAGGTGATAGTGGTGACTCAGACATAGTCTCACTCACCAGATCATACCTCAGATAGTGTCAGGACCTTGTTCAACAGCTTTCCAAATCTAGGAACAAGCCCCCAAATAACTTTTCATGGTCAACACTGGGTGGTCTATCCAGTATCATTCCTTTAAATGACTTTTCTGCAGCCATTTGGCAGTTAAGGGCAACTTCTCAAGGGCTACTAGGGAGGTATTATAAATGGTGACCCAGCTAGTAATGCCCACATTCCACGAGCAAATAAAAATACAAAAAGTTAACCACACTGTTGTACATCTGGAGTCACATCTAGGCTAGACAAGAGAAGGATGGTAGACTTCCTTCTGTAAAGAACCATGGTAAACCTTGCAACAATTAATGATAGTTTGATGGTCACTATTATTAGGACTAGTTTTAACTGGAATTTAGGTTCCAATTGGCTCTAGGGCATTAGCATCTGGATTAGTAGCTCAATGACATTACCAATGACCTCTGCAGAGGATAGTGATGCAATGCAAAGGTCAGTGAATTAGGAATCCAGTAGCCAAAGTCATGGCAACCGGTGGTATCTTAATTTAATCAATCTGGAACAGAAAACCAGTTTCAGGAGGTGGTCGGCCATCACAACTAAACATTCTTATAAAAACCCATCTGATTCACTAAACTCCTTTAGGAAAGCCAATCTACTGTTCTTACCAACTCTGGTCTATACATTACTCCAGACCCACAGTGAATGTGGTTGGCTCTCAAGTACCCTTGACCTGAGTGGGTTGCTGGGCTATTTCAGTGGATAATTAAGAATGGGCAACAAATGCTGGTCTTGCTAGCGGTTCCCACATCCCATCAAAAATGAAAGAAATAAAAATAAATAAATAAATAAATAAATCAATGCCACCACTTCCTATTAATGCTGAATGAGGACAAGATCAAATCATCTATGTTACCATGGACAAATCATTTGTCATTTAGGTACACTGGAGCTGCTGGGTGCAAGCTTCAATAGTCTCATGTCAAGAAAGGAGAAAAGAAATTGTAAGTGTAACTGTTGAATCTACATGCAAAATATGCAGTTCAGAAAAATTCAGAGTAATGCCCCAATATAGGCAAATAGTTCCCAAGACCCAGTTTTGCTCCTTACATAGTCAATAAAGGTGCATAATCAGTCCTGTTTTACGTAAATCTTGTTGCATCTCTTCCGATTTACTGAACAGAACTCTATTGTATAAACTACATTAGACAGTGATTAGGTGATCTGAGTCCCATCAGTTCTTTTAAAAGCCAAAAGCAACACGCAGGCACACTGCTGCAGAACCCACTGATTTTTATATTTATCCTTCATTATGTTTCCTATAATAAACATGTTCTTAAAATAGTTCTAGAATTCTTTCCAGTCATAAATTCATTGCTCAAGACAACGCTTCACCAGTATAACGTACTGCATGCAATGACATATCTCTGCTGTGCATACTTTAACCTAATGTAGACATAATAAAATCACATCAGCTTTTACACAGGACATCCCTTATCGGTTCGGACAAACATACACAAATATTATCGCGACATTTGCCTTATTTGTTGCATGTATAGAGAAAAAGCAGCAAACTGGAAAAATATATTATAAATACATTAGAATGCTCTTGGTCATAAAAATAAAGCTCTTTTGAAGTCTTTGTTTTGAGACACTCATTTCACATTCCAGAGATGAATAGGATTACCTTAAGGGATTACATTAACTAAATTATGTTGCTTAACACCACAAAAGTTGTATTTGAAACCGTGACACAGAAGCAATTGACAAGGTTTAATGTGAATGATTCAACTTTTGCAGTAACATTTAGTACAAACTCAATTAAACTCCATAAGGCAAAAAAGATATATATATATCCCTCATTGTCCCACTGCTTTGAGACATATTTATGGATAATACATCAGAAACAGTAATAATTTTGACTTTCAAACAATTTACACCAAGTTACAATGTCCTTATGCACAAAAAATATTCATGACTGTCATATTTTCATACATACAACAAAATCGGTGATCGTATGGCAGTATTTAGAGACCATGGATTAAATTCCTAGCTGTTAATTTAAAGGGGAGTTTGATAAAGTCACTGAAAACATCTAGGAACACCTTAGCCAGTTAGGACTTTTATTGATTTTTCTCTGTATTAACTTCTTTATGTTAGCTGTGGTTAGCACATTTTTAATTGTTGCTATTCCAGGACAACCATAATCATCCCTTTGTTACGGACAAATTCTGTAACAATACCTTGGATAAGTCGTAGGTTCAAGTGGTTCAATTTTAAGCTTCACAGGGGCACAAGAGAGGTCTGACACTTTTATGGTTAGTGTGTCTATAATACTGAAGGTGGCAGGAGAGGGTTACATTGTTCAGATGTGAACAGTCTACAGGGATGGAAACAACTTCAGTTTGTCAGGAAGTCTTTGGTAATTTCTGAATTTCTATAACTCTTCAGCCTAAGGATTTGATTGTCAGAGCAATTCAAATATGTAAAACTGAAGTCATGGATAAAGGAGAATAGATTGGAAAAGTATCTAAAAGAAACACTGAACTTTAAGACTTGATCAGGCTTCAAAACTGAGCTTGTAACCGCTAAGGCATGTGTAATTCTCAGGTAAACTTGCAAGGTTTTGCTTTAAGTATTGCTAAAAAAGTGTCTATTTGATTCTTGTCAATAATCATCATCAATATTATATAAAATCGCTGACTACTGTTTTGCTGAGAATACAATTATTTTGAAGTAAAGATATTAATCATTTCTTTTAAAAAAAACTAAGTTAATTAAAAGTTGTACAGTACTAATTCCCTTGGAAGCAGAGAGTTGGTTTTATTAATTTGTGGCTTTCTTGCATTTGATTTTTAATTGACATTTGTGCTATCCCTACTACAGTTCTAACCAATGGTACACAATAATCCTCTTGGACGAGCATCAATGCCATGCAGTTTTCCGAAAAGCATACCCATGTCTTAACCATTTTTGGATAAAATAAAATCTGGCCCAAAGTCCAAACAATCAAAACAAAAATGCAACATACTCACCAGAAATGGTGCACAGACCCAAGTGAAAGTGGAAACTGCTGACAGATAGGCAGCACTTTTGAGTACTTTGAGCTCCTTCTGCCTAATTTGCAGCACCTTCTCCTTAAATGCCAGTTCCCAAGCATATAGCTTTAATACTCTTATTCCATTTAGAATCTCATTCATCAGTTTGATACGATTGTCTTTTTCTTTCATCTGCGTGACCTATTAAAACAATAAAATTGGATATTTAAGATCAGACTAATAGTTCACTTTTCTATTTTACAAAAAAATTAGCAATGTGCTGTAGGTACTTGAGTATGGTAGTGGAGAGAGAAACAGAGCTAACGTTCCAAGTTGAATGCGACCGTAATTCATAATTGAAAACTCATCACGTTTCTACTTTCTTTGCCGTTGAAAGCAGTCAGAAAAAATAAAACAGAAGGTTTGGGATTCTGTACAGGGTACAAGAGATTAAACGACGAAGAAATAATGCAACAAAATGTCTTCTCATGGAACAATTTTAAGAAATTTTACATATATTAAACTTTCAGTAATTTGAAGAATCCCCATGGCATTACTCAAATGTCTTGGACCTAGAGCATGACTCTGATGTTTTATTGTCAATCTGGTCTATGCCTCAAGGCCACTACTTCAGATTGGCAAATCTGAGCAATTGTAGTTACGTATAAACTCTAAGGTCAGAGGGGCGTAGCAATTATTTTAATATTTCAGGGTCTGTGTCAATAACCAGCCTGAGGCTTTTCCAAACTGCACCCTTAACAGTGCAACAGAGCAGTGCAGAATGCAAGAATCTCTTCATACACCTGGCCTTCAGTGATTCATATTCCTGAGCTCCAGTTGTGCTAAAGATTTATCAAAGTACCTGTTTTGCAAGGAAATCAGAAATGCAGTAAGAACGTAAAACATATACGCAACATCAACTCTTCCCAAAAAGCAAACAGCTCGAGATTCCATGACATGATCAGCTTCAAATGAGGATAATGCATGGCGACACACTCAGATCGTTTACAATACAATCAGAGCTATTAACCTGAAGCCCAAGATGAAGTTAGCATCCCATCTGAAACGCATATTAATGCTAGTGTGATAAAAATGTGACATTCATGTAGTGGGAGTTTGCTTTTCTGGTACATGGGAGAGAAAACACAATGGGACATCAAGCTACGCTGCATTTGACTTGGTTAAATAAAACATTTTCTCAGAAGGCTTTGCAGAGGTCAGCAAGATCATTTTTGGAGGTCAGAAGGCTCTTTAAAAGGAGACGGGACATTTGCAGTCCAGTGTATTTAAGGTTAATGTTAGATTTTTCATTTAACTTGTTACACTTTGTGGAATGCAAGAGTGACAATTATATTACCAAGGCAAATTGAAAAGCTAGTAACATAGAAAAATGTGACAAAATTCAAAAGGAAAGTTCACTAATCAGGAATAAAGGCAAAAAAAAAACCCTGGAAATACTGAGCAAGTCTACAGCATTTGTGGGAGAAACAAAAAACTTCATGTTTTGTTTTTTTTTCCCCCCATCCCCTCAACCTCTTCCTGTGGTTTAAAACTGAAGTTCCTATCGCTGTTCAAATCTGATGAAGTCATATTGACTTGTTCCTCTCCACATCTGCTAAAAAGATCTGCTGAGTATTTCCAGCATCCACAGTATTTTGCAATTGCATCACTGTACCTGGAAGTTTTTTGTTTTCATTGCAATCACACCATTTACAGGGACAAGAAGAATCATAACTGCCACACCTGCTAGCACAGAAGGCCCCAGATTCTGAAGTGCAAAAATATTAAAATTATCAGCAATATTTTCATAACTTAAAAAATCTTGTGTTATACTCTACAATGAAAATCACCACACTGATTTTGAAATTCATATTTCTATCGTTTGGCAAAACATGAAGATTTTATTTTGAAATAACAACTGATATTTGAAAAAAAGACCTCAGTTGAAGTCCCTAAATGACATCAGAACTTCATTCCTTCCAGTATATGTTAAGCTAATTTGAATCTTCTTTTCTAGAAATTAGTAAATGATAAATATTTCCCCAAAACACAACACAGGTAGAACTTTTGGGATTACACAAACATTTTTATCAAACTTGATTTGAAAAACACTATGGATGAAGTTGTGAGTCTTTGAAACCTGATTTTTCTGTAAGGTACAAGAAAACCCTTGTACAAGGATTCTTTCATAATTCTACTACAGTTTTCAGGTCAGCTTGGCAAACACTGTACACCAGGAATGGAGTTGGACTTCAGAGGTCATCAGTTCTAGGAATGTCATTCCCAGAAGAAATGGAAGTGCAGGAAGTGCTTAAATTGTAAATATAGATCCAATCCAGTTGCTGAGACAGAAAGTTAAGATACAGTCCTTCGCAGATATACAGTAGAAAATGGACCACTCAGTCTTACAGCTCCTTTGCCCCCAATGTCACAGGTGCTCCTTTTTTATTTGTGCTCAAACTAATAGACACATGTTCTTCTTTAACATTAAAAAGGACATTAACAAACTTAAGTGCAATTACGCAGACATTAACCTCTCAACTTCCTCATAGAACGAATGAATACTACCTTTAAATTTATCCACATCTAGAAAACAGGACAACATCCCTTCAACTCTTCCCCCTTCAGTTTCAATAAATCACGGTTCACTCCTTCCCTCCAGAGGCTCCATAATAACAACTCCAAATCTGGGTCCAGACCCGAAACATCAGCTTTCCTGATCCTCCGATGCTGCTTGGCCTGCTGTGTTCATCCAGCTCTACACCTTGTTATCTCAAATCTCATTATCTCCCCACTTCATTTCTCCTTTCATACCAGCCAGCATCTTCCTCTCCTGGACTGCACAATCAGTAATTTATCTCAGGACTCCTTCCTCACTTCACAGTCTATGCACTTGCTTCCCATGCAACATTTTGTTCATGCACCTTGTAGTTAGTTTCTTTTCAATTGTGCAATTTTGTCATCACAATTCAGCACCCAGCACTACAATGATTGTCTAAAATCTAATCTTGGGGAAGCTACACTTATTTTCATTTTCCATTTCAGTAACCACTCACCGATCTTCAACACTTTGTTTGGCATGATAAACAATGGCCAATAATTATGGCACCAAGAGGACAAGGGAGAGTCAACTCACCCTATGATCCTGACTGAGCTTTTTTTTCTTTTTATTCATAGGATGAGGGCAGAGGGCATTACTGGCTAGGACAGCATTTACTGCCCATCTGGGATGGTGGGACTGATGTATCAGCAGAGGTTGAATCGATTAGACTATATTCACTACAGTTTAGAAGAATTGGGGTGGGGATGGGGTGGGGAAAGAGACCCTCATCGAGACCTATAAAATTCCAAGAGAATTAGGCACGGTAGACAATGATCAGTGAGTCCAGAACCAGAGGTCACAGTCTAACAATATGGGGTAAACCATTTAGGACTGAGTTGAGTAGAGTAGAAATGCCTGCACCCAGAGAATGGTGAGCCTGTGGAATTTTCTACCACAAAAAGCAGCTGAAGCCAAAATACTGAAACAGTTCAAGGAGTTGGATATAGCACTTGGGGCTAAAGGGTTACAAAGATAAAGGGAAAAAAGGAGCAGACTGACGAGTTGGTTGACCCCCATGATCACAATGAATGGCACAGCAGGTTGGAAGGGCAGAATGGCCTGCTCCTATTTGCTATATATGTTTCTACATCCACCATAAGTAATTGCCACTAAAATAAGATTGCCTAATGCCTACTATTTTAAATTTGGTGTTCTTCCCTCCATAATGCAAAAACCTGATCATAATTTTACAGTATTTAAGAACATGACAGATTGCCTGTATTCAGCAAACACCTGAAATTTCTCATCATCTGTTGTTAAGACTTAACTACAACTCAGGCAGTTTCAAATCAGCTGTTTCTCACAATTTGAGAATTAGGAGTAGACCATTCAGTCCCTCGCACGTGTCCCGACATTCATCAAAATCACAGCTGATCTGCCTCAGGCCCCAACTCCTTTTATGTGCCTGTTCCTCATAGACCACAACTCCCTGATATTTCAAAAATCTAGCTACCTCCTCTTTCAATATTTTCAGTGATCTACCCTCCACATTCCTCTAGGGCAGAAAATTCAAGACATTCACTATCAACAGAAAAAATTTATTTGCATTTCAGGTTTACTTTGTCTCCTAGTTTGGAGATTCCCTCCTAGTGGAAACAACTTCTTAACACCTTCCCTGTCAAGCCCCCTCAGAATCTTGAATGTTTCAGTAAGATTCATTCTTCTAAACTCTGATGAATAAAGGCCTATCCTGTTTGGCTGTTCTTGATAACTCAGCCCCTTCACCCCAGCATATTATCCTCACAAATCTCTTTTAAACTGCCTCCAATGCCAGTATATCACAGAAGTATGAAATGACTACTAACTGCCCCATTACTTAGCCAGTCTAATGTGTTATTTGGATGCAAATGGCCAAATGGTTAAGTCTCCTTTGGTAGGAATTGACAGCTGTTCAGAACAACCACAGATGATACAAGTGCAACTGAACGATGAAAAAACACATTCATCCAAACTTCACCACATCAAATAACATAACAATCCATGCCTTCTACAAATGTGCAGCCTCCCAATGGCATTTCAACTCATTTCCCCCTTTCTATCTCTCCACATAACTCTGAACAGTCACAGCCCATCCTAAAAAGAGCAAATCTGCTCCTCTGATGCTGTGTGGCCTGCTGTGTTCATCCAGCTCTACACCTTGTTATCTCTTAACCACAGAAGAAACTCTTTTGGAGGAAACACCATCATGTACGCCATCATTCCCAAGAACCAGCACAGACATTAGCACTGCAGCTGGTAAAGGGCAGGGTCTGCAAGTGGCACGTAGAAGTACTAGCAGCAAAAAGTTCACCAAAGGGCAAAGTCCTTTCCATGGTCTTCAGGGGGGCATAGAAGGGAGTCCAGCAATGACCAACCAACTGCTTATTTCACAGTATTGTAAGAGATATTGGAAGTCACGGTGGCTCAGTGGTTGGCACTGCTACCTCATAGTGCCAAGGACCTGGATTCAATTCTGCCCTCGGATGACTGTCTGTCAAGTTTGCACATTGCGAGGGTTTCCTCCAGGTGACCCTGACACCTCCATTTCCAGGTGCTCCAATTTCCTCCCACAGTCCAAAGATGTGCAGGTTAGGTGGACTAGCCGTTCTAAATTGACCATAGAGTTCAGGCGTATGTAGATTAGGTGTGTTATGCGGGATGCCCCGAGGGTCGGTGTAGACTTGTTGGGCTGAAGGGCCAGTTTCCACACTGTAGGGATTCTATATGACGAAGTCCTAACAAGGAGTTTCAGCACCATGGTTGAAGGTATTAAGGCTATTGTAGCTAGCCTGAATGATGTTATCTCATGTGGAATCAGCACATTGCAGTCTACCTTAACGGCAGCATAGCTACTGTCAGGGACTCTGCTGTCATGTCCTTATAACAGGGGTCTACATTCACACAAATGCAGCTCTGTTAGTAACCGAAAAGGTTCATGCACACTTTATTGTGCACACACTGTGCTTGGCTTTAGAAAGTCAGACCTTGGAGGCTAGTGGAGAAAGTGAATAGGGACTTTGAAGGATTGATTCATCTTCTGTAGCCTGCTGCCCTATAACCAGGAAGATGTATGAACTGTGTTATTGCACTAGTATTTCAGAGGGATGGGATTTGTAAAGTGTCTAAGGAGGGGCGAGATACATCAACTTTGCTGCAGCGCCTAATCCTGAAAGTATATTTTTAAAAAGTGAAGAGAGGAGAGATAAACCTGTGGGAGAAGGAGTCATATTTTCTATCTGCCTCCAAGCGGAAGAGAAGATGCTGAGTCAGTTGAAGTTTGCAATGTTATTTCCATCGTAATTTTTACCACTCATTTTTAAAGTGTTCATTTTAAAAATGTTAACAGCACCAATTAAAATGGAATTCCTTGAAAACTTTAACTGACCCAGCATCTTCTCTTCTATCAATCTTGCTAGACAAAAGCATTAATAAACATGAATCAAAGACAAATAAATGAAGTTTTGGGGCAGATGCCTCATGACCGAGTTCAGCAGTAGAAAAGGCTCAAGGGACTCAAATGACCTAGTCCCATTCAAATTTAGAAGTGTTGAAGCAGGCTGGTATGAAGCCCTTTGAGCTGTACTTCAATAACAGTGAGTGATTCTGAAAAGTGAAGTTGGTAAAGACAAAAACAGAAACTTTATCGATCTAAAAATATTTTAAAAATTTAACAACCCCGGGTAAATATTGTTTTAACAAATAACTGTCCAGAGGACAGAAGGGACACTAAATTAATTACCTGCCACAGGAAATACATAGCCAGGATCACCTGCAGTGGCGCAGACCAGATCATGTTTAAGTAAGTTATCAAATCCATAAGCTTTTGTGCATCCACAGACATCAAATTTACAATTTCCCCAACCGTGGATGTCTTCCTTGCTGCATTGGAAATTACCAGTGCCTTTTACAGAAAACAAAAAAAACATTCTTGCAGTGATACAAAGACGATTTGATATGTACAACAAAATGTAAATAAATCTGTTTAAACAGTGATCTAAACTAAATTGTTCAACCAGTTAAAGCTTTACAACAATTATTCCTAGAAGTGTAATAACTATTTTGCAGAAGTCAACAGATTCAACTAAAAAGGTAATCAGATTTTTTTTCTCAGATAGAGTTTCTCTACTTAAAGAAACTCACTTTGGCTGGGAGGCAAGATAAACATAGGGCTTGAAAGCATTTTTACATTATTCCCATTGTAATTTTTAAAGTGCTCATTTCAAAAAAGGTTAACTGCACCAATTAACATTGAATTCCTTGTAAGAAAAAAAATGACTGAAATAAGAGCATTGCACTTAAAGATGTAGTTCTAAAGAAAAGATAGTTCAATACAATCTTAGAACATAATTTTCCACAGCAAACAGAAAATGAATATCAAATTAGGAAAATATCCATGCCCCTTATAATTAAAAATGGCCGACTTACATTGGAATACTTAACAGAACTACACAGATTTCCTACTCGGAGAATATCTGTCTCACCACAGATTAATAAATTTTGCCAATAGTTAACATCTCCACCTTATTCCATTAAAATAAACATCAAAAGGACCATGGCATGATTTATTTTTCACATTTCTTGTCACCTAAACAAAGTAGCATAATAAACCTGTACCTTTCTATAAACTGCTCCTATAATAGCAGTTTTTAGTCTCATTCCAGTGACAAAACAAATTTGGAAGTACTGATGAAGGAAGAGAGTCTGGATAAATGCACATAAAAATAGTAGCACAACATAAAAGTAGCCTTGCCAGCCTGGAGCCTTGTCATTATTGATAAACTGCAAAAGCAACCTATTAAAAAGGAAAAAAAATGTGATTAAATGCCAGGGATTATTATCCAGTTTCACAGTAATCAACTTAATATTACGTTATGCCACTGAATAAGTAGACTTAATTTAAAACAATTATGAATCGCACTGAACTAGAAGAGCCAAATTTCAACTAAAAATATTGTAGTGGTCAAGAACAAAGGCACAAAGAAAGGATTAATTCCAGTTTATATTACTTGGATCACAGAACAACAACAGAAGATGCTCAAGTCAGTCACTATCTACCTTCCTTGGAAATGTTGCCATGCACTCCCAGGCAACTCTGACTGAAAAAAGTATGTTGTTTAGTGCCAGGCCAAGTTCCAATTCCTTTTCTACATCATGTCTACTCATTTCCTCCTGTACAACAACATTCCTCATGACCCTATCTCAACTTAGCAGCCAAAATTTATTACCTGGGCTTCTGTCGCAGCCAGAATCCAATACTTCAATGTCCCCCTTTCTAATTTCCCCAACACCTGCAGTGCACATCTTCAGCTCAAGAACAGTGCTAGTGTCATATCCCATCTCAATAACACACTAACCCTGTGCTTGCTAACTTAGTGGTTCCCTGTCAAATTCAAAATAGTTATAAAAACAGAAATTGCTGGGAAAAACTTAGGTCTGGCTGCAGCCGTGGAGAGAGAAAAACAGAGTTAACGTTTCAGGACCAGAGACCCTTCTTCAGAACTATTTTTTCAAAATAGTTATCTTCCTTTTAAAATACCTTTTCAGCCTTGCATTTCCCTAAAATTTTGGTCTCCTCCACACTTCTATTTGACACATGGCGGTCTTGGGAATTTTGTTTTGTACATCTTCCATCTTTTAGCACATCATTGGTGTCAGAGCCTTTAAATACCTCAGCCCTATTTTTTGAAACTCCTTTCCTTAGTCACTTTGCCTCTCTACTCCTCCATTTTTCTTTAAAGATGTTCTCAGATTCCATCTTTTTCATCCTTGCATTCACTCACTTCTCTAAACTGTTTTGTAATAGCCTGGGATTGATCCAACCTCATTATTCCTTTGTAAAGTGCACTGAGTAATATTGTATATTAAAAGCAATACATTAAGTTATTCATGTCTGATACATCAGTTGGAGTTTAAACATGTTGTTCAAGTGCATGAGCAGGGCAGACAAGCTTGAAAAGAAGGATTATTCCCACTTTTCCTCCTTGTCACATTTGAGTTGAATCAGACATCTGTGGTAGTTTTCAGTATGTATTGCAGTTTTCTCCTACACGTGAAGACATTTGTGATATTGGAACCGCCACCACCAAAATTCTCACATTGTTACGGTGGCTCAGTGGTTAGCACTGTTGCCTCACAGTGCCAGGGACCTGGGTTCAATTCCACCCTTGGGTGGCTGTCTGTGTGGAGTTTGCACATTTTCCCTGTCACTGCGTGGGTTTCCTCCCACAGTTCAAAGTATGCAGGTTAGGGTGAATTGGCCATGGGAAATGCAGGGTTACAGGAAGATGGTAGGGAGAGTGCGTCTGGTGAGATACTCTTCAGCGGGTCAGTGTAGACTTCCACATTGTAGGAATTTTATGATCCATAGGGAGAAATGAAAACAAACAAACATATTGAAAACAAAAAAAAAAAAAGAGGCTCACAGATTTCAGTTCAAAATTCTAAACACCCAATGTGTCAACCCTTCTAACTCCGACTGACATCAACTTTTACTAAAACTAAAAAGCAACCAAAGCATTTCATTTCATCACTGAAATCAGAAGAACAGAGTTGTGAAAAGAAAATTATATTGGAGTTTTCAGACTGTAACTCGTTAGACAGTGAAGAGCGAATCGCTGAATATAGGGCATTTGGATTTTCAAGCACAGTGTTAGGTGTGACAAAAGATTTTACACAAAAGTAGGACCTATGGCAGACAGCAACACGAGCATGGACAGAGGATTTGTTAGGGACGTCAAAGAGAGTAAGAATTAATGGGTTTGACATGCTGTCACTAGCTATGAGCAATGGTTGTACCTCATCTACTCACAATCCATATTAATGATTTGCTGAGTCTAAGTTTGCCAATTATAGGCCCAGGTTCAAGTCCCATATGCTCCAGGGGTGTGTCATAACATCCCTGAACAGGCTAATTTAAAATATCTGTATTGTTATGTGGGAAAGTATGTGAAGAGAAAGATATCAAGGAGCTGCAATTGGATATAAGCAGGTTGGATGATTAGGCAAGAGCTTGCTTACAATGTGGCATGTAAGCATGATCTCCACTTGATAGAAAACATGACAAAAAGGAGGAAATGTTTGCATTTAGAAAGAGAGTGAGATCTAGTATATTAACTACAGAATATTAATAAGCAAGAAGTAATTCAGAAGGCAAACAGTATGTTACCTTTTGATACAGAGTGATTAGAGTACGGGTGTAGAAGATGGCACTAGTGAAGTCATATCTGTAGAAGTGTGTAAATTTGATGTCCTTACCCAGGGAAAGGCATACCTGTCTTACAGGGAGAACAACAGAAGTTTACTAACTTGGCTCTTGGGTTGAGGAGTTGTCCAATGAGAAGTATATCGGTGATATCATCATGCTGCTTCCCTCTCTCATCCAGAATTGGAAAGATTTACCAATTTCACTTCCAATTTCACAGTGCTCTCACCTGATCCATCTGGAATTCCTTCCTTCCATTCCTCGACATCTGTTTCCAGTTCTGGGAATAGGCTGGCCACCAATATCCACTACAAACCCAGCAACTGCCAGTTACTTTGACTGCACATCCTCACTCTGCTTCCTGTAAAACCTCTATTCCAGTCTCCCAGTTCCTCCGTCTGTCGCATCTGTTCCAATGAAGCCAACTTCGACAAGGGAGCCTCCAAACTGTCCACCTTCCTCCTCAACCAAGGATTCCTCAGCACCATAGTTGACAGGGCCCTCAGTCAGGTCCAAGTCATCTGCCCCATTTCAGCCCTTGTCCCCTTCTCTTCCATCCCATAACAATGGGAAGGTCTCCCTTGACCTCACATACATTCCACCAGCATCTACAGAGGATCATTAGCCTCCATTTCCGCCACCTTAGCAGGATCCTACCACCAGAAACATGTTCTCCTCCCCTCCCTTGTCCGCCTTCCACAGGGACAATTCCATCCGGGACACCCTGGTGCACTCCTCCTTTACTTTCAACACCCTGTCACACAGCCCCATGACACCTTCTGCGGTTGCAGGAAAAGGTGCAACACCTGCCTGTTTAATTCCTCCCTCCTCAGTATCCAAGGGCCCAAACACACCTTCTAGATGAAGCAACACTTTACCTGCACTTCACTCAATCAACGCTATTTCATTCGCCACTCACACTGTGGCCTCCTCTACATTGGGGAAACGACTACTTCACAGACACCTATGTCCTGTCCACAAAAAAGACCCTGAGCTTCCAGTTGCCCGTCACTTCAACACACCAGTGTTCGCTAGCCAACATTGCTGTGGCAGGCTTGCTGCAGTGCTCCAGCTCAGTTCAGCACAAGCTGGAAGAACAGCACCTTATTTTCCACTCGGGGACCCTACAACGTTCTGGACTCAATATCAAGTTTAACAATTTTTACGGCTTGAGGCACTTTTGTCCATGTCTCTATCCCAACCCCTATACAACAGACTTTGTTACCACGTGGTCTGCTATTACGTACTTTCCGCTGTTAGCTACTAATAGCTCCTATGAAGCAGCCATTCATTTTCCTAAGCTGACTATTATCCACTCCTTTGTCTGTGGAACTGTTCTTCTCTCTCTTTGGGCTCTATCCCCACCTTTCGTTTACTCCTTACCCCCTCCACCTCACCCCATCTTCTGCATAAAAAAAACAACTTTTTCCTCGCTATCATCTGTTCTAAGGAAGGGCCACTGGACCTGAAGTGGCATGGTGGCTCAGTGGTTAGCACTGCTGCCTCACAGCGCCAGGGATCTGGGCTCACTTCCAGCCTCAGGTGACTGTATGGAGTTTGCACATTCTGCCCATGTCTGTGTGGGCTTCCCCCGGGTGCTCCGGTTTCCTCCCACAGACCAAAGATGGGCAGGTTAGGTGGATTGGCCATGCTAAATTGCCCAGTGATGTGCAGGCTAGGTGGATTAGCTGTGGGAAATTTGCAGGGTTACAGGAATGGGGTGGGGGTGGCTCTTCAGAGGGTTGGTGTGGATTCAATGAGCCTAATGGCCTGTAGGAATTCTCTGAAGTGTTAATTCTGCTTTCCCTCCACAGATGCTACCAGACCTGCTAAGCTTTTCCAATAATTTGCTTTTTTGTTTCTGATTTCTAACATCCACAGTTCTTTCAGATTTTTAGTATAGAAATCAATTTGCTTTTGTTAATTATTGTGCAACTTACTTCAGAATTTCAGGGCTCGCAAACATCAGTAAATCATGAATAATCTTATACAAAAAGCTGATCATAAAATATGGGCCAAAGGTTCTACACAATGCTTTTAGCAATGAAGGCTGCAAATTCTTTTTCTTCTTTAAAATCAGTACTTGTGTTTCACCAGGTTCCTCAGAACCCATGGGCTCCTTTTTGGTTCTGTTCTTCTGAGGAGAGTATATCATTTCACTTTGTCTATTTCAAATGAAAACAAACAAATTTATTAAACATTACTTGGCACATAAGAATTCCATTTACTGAAACAATAAAAACTAATCATTTTAGTCATTAAAAGACATTTATAAATCTTGCATACCCATTACCTGGTTTTCATAAAACATTCCTTCCCCCATTCTTCAACTAGATGTGGCACAATCACTTTCGATTTATCATTCTTTTTTAAAGACCATAAATCATTTGGCTCCAATGGCCGTTTATATCCCAAAATAGTCATCCTGAAGTAATGCAAGAAGCATGTGTTAATGGGTCATCTTTTCTCCCAAAAATAAAAAAACAAGACAAAAGAATCAAAGAATCAAGAGTGATCAAGCACAAATTTCTAAGGATGAAAATATGTTGAAAGAAAAGTTAGAAAGTTGCGATTAAATTGACACAAAGTAATGACATACAGCATCATATTGATCAATTGTGCAGTTCAAATAAATGTCCTTTCAGCAGAAAGAGGAAATTAAATTCTGCAGTGTCTACAGGCTGAGGAATTAGATGATCAAGGCACAATTAAAATCATGCGTTACCATCAAAATCATAGCTTTCAATTCTTTACAACTAAGACCTTTCTGAAAGGAAAAACAATTTGAGTAAACTGAAAACACATTTGTTCATTGCTAAGTAGTGAGTAAAGATTAGAAATCTACAAAAAAAGGTGTTATAATTTCTCTACAAAGTAGAAATCTATTTTTTTTTATTTTGAGCAAGAAACAGATACAAAAGTTTTGCTGCCTCCAATTTGACTTCGAAATATAGAAAATTGAGTTATTAACGCATGTATCATTGCAGACAAGTCAACTGACATTAGAAAATATATTAGATAGTATTGCTAAGATAACACTGTCTGTCCAAAGGTCACAAAAACCTATTTGTACATCTTATTTCACAGCAATGTTCCCTACAAAACAATGTTATTGCGATGCCCAGTAACATCACGTTTTAAAAATTGCTGAGGGCAGACAGAAAAAGGGCTGTGCGGGACCCTCCAACGCTGCTGTGTGGCTCCAGACACTTGCAGCTTAGTAAGAATGTTGATTAAGAATATTAGCTACTGCCTGAGAATGATTCTATGGAGATTAGAATGGAATGGGGCTGCAGCAGTTCAAGGAGCCGGCTTACAATCACTTTTTCCAGGGCAATTAGGGTAGTCAATGAATGCTTGCCCAGCCAGCAAAGCCCACAGGCCTTGAATGATAAAGAAAAGGAGATTCCATCACCACTAAGTCATAGGCTCTATTTCTCTAAGGTTTCCTGATGGGTAGAAGATGGAATAGATGAGCTGCTTAATTCTGGTAGATAACCTTCTGCGTACTTATTAAAACTGTTCTTCTTGCCATTCCATAACTATATAAAGACCATAGAATACAGCATATTATTCTACTTTTAATGTGAAACTTCATCAGCTTCAATGTTAAATTTGCATTCAATAAATATACCTTCAAGTCAACTATAAACTAATTAAAACATAATGAAAAAAAAATCCTCTCATCAATTTAGACTCTTTGCCAGAAACATCCAGTATTAAATAAGTGAAGTGGTGCTGATTAGTAGCATTGTGCCAGAAAAAAAAATACACAAACATATGAATCATTTTTTGATCAATCAGGTTTCATTTCTTGATGCAAATACAATGCCAATCCATATTCATTTAAAACCTTTTAAAATTGATCTCTAAAGAAAATTAACTTATTTGAAAGAAAACATCACCAAAACAGAAATGAGTGATACTGTAAAATAAAGCTCTATTAGGTCATCTTGTGTTAATTTCAGGGCAAGTACCCCAGTATGAATACAGTAAGGTCAAACACGTCAGATTTCCACATACCCTGTAAACCACCAGAATGTTATCTTGGACAGGAATGAAGCACTTAGTTCAGGGCACAGACTCTAGATAAAGAAGTTTTTAAAAAAGTTACTATCTTAACAAAAGAAATGAAAGATGAATTTAACTAAACATTGAATACAAGAAATTTGATAAAGTTCTTAAGAAAAAACACATGGAAAGACGCAGGCTTATAATATTGAAAAAGCAAATTGTTGGCTTGAAACGAGTTACACAATAAAATAGATGGATAGTATTTCAGTTGAACAGCAACAATTTGCAGAATTTCTTTCCAATAGCAAGGTGAAAGGATTTTTGAAGCGGCTGAAGGTATAATTCTATGGCAAGGCTAAGGGTATGAAATGGCTTGGTAATACTCAACAAGGAAAAGGCATGCTTCAACAATTGAATATTAACCAATCCAAATGGTATTAATTAACTTTATTTGAAAACTACGAGCAGGAAAATTATTTTGATCCGTTTTTGATTTTGAAATGTTCTCTCCAGTCTGACAATTATAACAAATAGAAGATGGAACAGTGTCCAAGAAGGTGGCCAATACATTTGACAATTGCAATTCAATAGAAACCAATTAAACCAGTTGCCTTTGAGAACACACTATTCATCATTCATATCACATTTATCATTGACCATTCATAAAAATATTTAGCAATTTCTTCAGTTATTTGCTGTATGAGGCAGTAAGTGCATCACAATTCAAACTTCACCCATTAGGATATCAAGTCTGTTCCTGGGAGTTAACCAGTTGCGTGCTGGTTACTAAAGTGGTGAATGTTTTAACAGCAGTGATGTGAATTTAGCTTGAGCCTGATGTCTCTCAGAAGAAGACCATAATTCATGAAATAATGTAATAAACCTACTTACTATTCATCAAAATTGGGCCTGTCTTCTTCCAAAGACTTTGCAAGAGCATCCTTTTTCACATTGTATTAGTCTAAGCTACTGATGTTATCAAGAAGGATGGGACAGTAAAACTTTTCAGCCCCTCCTTTTGATCATAAATGATCTTTTAGAAACCAACATAGTTTCACAGTGCCCTTTGTACTAAATTAGATTATTGTAAAGAAACATGGAGTATCAGAAAGGATGGAGGTAGCAACTTTGAGTTCGAGGCTTTGTCCTTAGGATCTTGTGCTCCTCTTTTGGGAATTTTCATCCAATCAAAATCACACTTTTATTGACTCTTCAGAACTGTCCATTTCATGAAGGCTATGTAGAATGCAACTGTCAAAACTTGGAGCTCAAGTCCTTTAATATGCCAATATATTGTTTTTTGTGTTTTATTTGCTCTTCTGTATGACTTTCTCAAGAGCAAATATTGGCTCATAATGACATCAAATAGTCTTTCAAAGAGGCTACATTCTGATCAATCATTTAACTTTCATCATTTTGGCTTAGTATTTGTTCTGATAGAGTCAACACCAGGGGTTCAACATTTGCCACTGATAGGAGGGCTGATGCCAATGATAGCCAGATTTGAAAACAGACATATTTGGTACTTGACAATCTATTTAACAGGCATTTCCATCTGTGAAAGCTCTGGTGATCCAATTCCAAAATTCAACAAAAAGATCTAGTACAAGAAACTGAAAGCTGCCTCAGGGTTGGAACTAGCACAGTTACAGGAAATGGTCTGACACAGTTGCGTAGCTCTCACTTTCATATCATTGCAGAGGCCACAAATAGCATGCTCTGTCTACAATAATCGGATTAGATTTTCATGCACAGGTTCATGATTTCCCCAGAACCTAAAACGCTAGGCTCAGCTCCTACATTGTGTAGGATGCATTAAGTAAAAGCTAAACTTTGCTACAAACTGAAAATTCCAACTAGGAGTCTTGGAAGCTTTTTCCTTCACCTTTTCATTAATGCATTCCACTGTGTATAAAATAAAATGTTTCCTCATGTTGTCTCTGGTTTTTTTTTTTAAACCAACTACCTTAAATCTCAGGCCCCTGGTTACTGGCCACACTGCTGGTGGTGGCACAGTGGCTCAAGAGTTAGCGCTGCTGCCTCACATAACCAGGGTCCTGGGTTCAATTCCACCCTCAGGCAACTGTCTGTGTGGAGTTCACACATTCTCCCAGCGTCTGCATGGGTTTCCTCCAGGTGCTCCAGTTTGTTCCCACAGTCCAAAGATGTGCCGGTTAGGTGGTTTGGCCATGCTAAATTGTCCGTAATATCCAGGGATGTGCAAGCTAAGTGGGTTAGCCCTGGGATAGGTGGGGTTATTAGGGGAAAAAGTAGGGACATGGGTCTGGATGGATACTCTTCACAGGGTCGGGGTGGACTTGATGGGCTGAATGGCCTGCTTCTATGATGGATTTTATGATGGCTGAAGTCCTGCCTACCTGTACCATTCCCATAAATCTCCCCTCTCAACCCACCGATGCCTTGACATTCTTCCCAAAATTAGCTGCCCATTTTCACCACACTACTCCAGCATATCAAACCACAGATCTTTCAAAGTTCATCGCATCGTCCTTTTTCTTTATACCATTATTTTTCTATTAATAAAGCTAATGCTCGCACATGCTTTTCCAACACCATCTCAACCTGTGTCATCTTCAAATGATTTGTAAGCAATGCATTATTAATTTGTAAGGCTGCTCTTCATTCTTCCTACTAACGTACATCTTCATACTTGTTAGGTGATATTTAACACATGTGGCTGCCATTTTAACTGGTCCATGATCTCCTGAAGTCCATTACTGTTCTCCTCATCACTAACGAGACAGTAGTTCAGAGTTTAGAATTATGGTCAGATTCTCAACAAATTCTACCCTTACATCCCATAGTCACCCAGGATAAATTTATCCCATCCATTCAAACTGACTTTTCTGCTAAAAGGATTGACAACCTTTTAAATACACCCTATTTATCTCTTTTTATCCTATTCATAAGAACATAAGAACTAGGAGCAGGAGTAGGCCATCCGGCCCTTTGAGCCTGCTCCGCCATTCAATAAGATCATGGCTGCTCTTTTCATGGACTCCAATCCACTTACCCGCTTTCTCACCGTATCCCTTAATTCCTTTATTGTTCAAAAAAAAAATCTATCCTATCTTTAAAACGTTTACTGAGGTAGCGTCAACTCCTTCACTGGCCAAGGAATTCCACAGATTAACAACCCTCTGGGTGAAGAAGTTCCTTCTCAGTTCAGTCCTAAATCTGCTCCCTCTAATCTTGAGGCTATGCCCTCTTGTCCTAGCTTCACCTGCCAGTGGAAACATCCTCTCTACTTCTATCTTATCTATTCCCTTCATAATTTTATATGTTTCTATAAGATCCCCCCTCAATCTTCTGAATTCCAATGAATATAATCCCAATCTACTCAGTCTGTCCTCATAAGCCAACCCTCTCAACTCCGGAATCAACCTAGTGAACCTCCTTTGCACCCCCTCCAGTGCCAGTACATCCTTTCTCAAGTAAGGAGACCAAAACTGCACACAGTACTCCAGGTGTGGCCTCACCAGCACCATTCAATATCACTATTTCCCCATTCTGTAATTGCTACATAAGGGCACCCTTTGAGTTTGTTTTTATTGGACAAAAATTATTGCCCTCTGCCTCCATGTGGTCTACTTTGGATCCTTGGCCCCAATCTCCCACTATTTACACAAGAATGCTCACAGAACCAGCGCAGACATAGGAGGCCATTCAGCCCACCTCTGCCCTGGAAAAATTCTGTGTAATTGAAAGATTATTGGATGTCACGTGCAAGATAAAATGCTTTTTGTTTCTTTATCTTACTTGCTAATCTATTCACATCTCTCTCCTTCCCACTTATTAGATCTCCTCTATATTCTCTAGAATCAACATGATTCTCTGCTGGAGTATGAATCAGGATGTCATCACCTACTGCGGTACTCAGTTGTATATAAATAGGTTCAAGTGTGTTACACTGCTGGTGATTCCTGCCAAGCCTGCCTCTGCCTACCCCAATGAATAGCCACACACTTACTATTCTCCAGGATTCTGCAGATTAGGGGTGACTATCCCCTAACACCTTTTGTAACTAGAGATCTATTCTTGGGTTAAAAACCAACAATTGACCTAGCAGAGAAATCACTCCCGAAATGGCCAGGCTCTAATTTTAGGTTTAATCACTAATCCTACAACTCTAAACAGTTTCCCCTCAATCCACCTCAATAGTTCTCCACAATAGCTTGACAACTCCCACATGACACATGAATTGTAAGCAACAGATTACAATGTCTGATCATTTTGTTTAATTGGATCTTAAGGAATTTAATTCATTGCTGAATGTTTAAATATGCACTGTTGCCTCTTAATTTACCTTTTCTTTTTACATAAGCACCTCTTTTCGCACTCTGCACCAGAGTTCACACACTTTCCAAATTTATGTCGCCATACTGTTTAGCAAGACACCCAATCAAGAGGATTCCAAGTTCCTTGCATACACACTATTTTCTAGAAAAATGTGCCTCGCTTTCATATTATTAAGCAGTTACAACATTTTATTTCCTACTATAAGAGATCAGCAAACTTCATATTAAAAAATTAATACTCACAGTGTCCTTGTCCGGTTCAGAAAAGAGGGGAGGCTGATCTGTCAAGCAGGAAAGTATAAACTGTACAAACACTCCAACCAAATAGATGTAAAAGGTCGCATTCCGAAAAACATCAATGTTAGGATCCTAAAGAGAGAGACAAGAAATTACTACATAGAAGCTGTTTTATTAATATGGTGAGTTTCTTTCTGAAAAGTTTCAGGTTGCACAATAAGAGAACTGGGAGACTGAGAACCACAGACCCAATGATTTAAACAACAGCATTAGAAAAGAAATATACAATGTAACTCCACGGTATCAGGAAGCTCAAAGAGTCATTTTTACAGGTCAAATAAATGACTCTACCCATTAAATCAGTCAAGGTCAATAAATTAATTTGAACTAGAATAAAATAAGCCAAGTTGAATCCCAGAGCCCAAAGGTAAGGGACTGCAGACATGAGAGAGAGACTGGTTAAAAATGGGAACAGCGGGATACCCAAGGGAAAGCTGGTGAGTGTCTTTTTTTCTTAAAAAAACAGAAATAATCATAGTTTAATCAGAGAGATAGCAGCATACTTTAGTCCCATCCATGCACAAGTTTGAAACACAAGGGAGACAGAAAGCAGGAACAGGATACCAAGTTGGATGATCAGCCACGATCATAATGAACAGTGGAGCAAGCTTGAAGGGCCAAGTGAACTCCTGCTCCTATTTGAACACAGCAGGCCAAGCAGCATCAT